GGCCTTACGGTGGTGTACGGGAGAAGAACATTTGGGGATGTGTAAAACCTGCCGTGAAATCCTTTTTAGGGGATTGCGGGAATGGTTGAGATATATCACGGGTTGTTTAAGGGAAGCACCGAAGGTGGGGAAGCAGTCAAAGTGGACTGGGAGGAAAAAACACGGGAATGTGGAAGGACAAGCTGGGCGACGGTAGCGGTGGTGTGAGAACATGTTGCTGATTGGTAGCCTTTATCTCTGCGGTCCATCCTGTCTCGCTAAGCTCCATTTCTACTTTTTTTTTTTCCAGGGTGACAGGATGTGTTCGCTTGGAGGTCTAAGCGCCAGCAGCTGACATCACGCCACAGGTCAAAGCAGCCAGTGTATACGCGGTACCAGTAAATGGGAGGGCTGGAGCATGTGCCTGGGGGGGGGGCGGCGGGCAGGGCTAGGGTGGAATGGCAGCATGTGTGATCACTAGTGAGTCAGACTAGCGAGCGAGTAGGGTAACGGGCTTTGGAGCCAGGTATCCAGGACCAGATACGGGAGAGATCGGGGTCAGCGGGTTGCTTACCGGAGGTGTAGGTCTAAGCCAGCTTGCTAGAGAAAACGGGGCGGGTATCTGACAGTTGGCTACTGGAAGGCCTTACGTCTGGATCAGCTAGCAGCGCGATTCGTTTCTCTCTCTCACCCTCTCTAGGTGAGAAGATTCGAGTAAGAGCAAGTAGAGTACTACTCCGGGCCTCGGGTGTTATATGCCCTAGTGCCAGGAAATCCAGCAGCTAGTTACCAGACAGAGCGTTTAAGGCCAGCTACTGAAGGGATTCATAACGTTTGCGCGCGTGCGTGCGTGCGTGTGTATACACGTGTATGTTTATATGAATCTACTCTACTAGCAGACTTCCAAACCAATTGGCTGGAGAGGAGGAAGAGGAGTCAGCCACTTGAACCATTCACGTTTGAGTGTTGCGCGTTAGATTCTGGTTAGATTAGTGGTGATCGGTGTCGCTGGACATGTGCGTGTTTTGCCTACCGGGAATACGTTCCCAGCCTCACTACTGGCCAGACTTGGGTGCGTGGAAGTGCGGCAGCCTCAGGTCTATTAAGGTACCGGACTCGGCAACTTCTGCTGTCGCCCGTCTCGGCGTCCCTGTCTTTGCTGTTGCGTTATGTCGCTTCTCGCTCCTGTTAATCTCACGCAGACTCTTTAACCTGGTACTCCAATGGCTGTTACATGTTTTCTGTCAGGTGTGCAGCAAATCTGTGGTGAACTGTGGTGCCAGACACTGCTATATAAATAACAATTCGTGTTTGAGGAAAAGGTAATTGCAGCCTGCAGGGTCTCAGTTCCATGTTAATCTAAGGCTTTTACTGATGTCCTCTGTTATGCAAGGACACAGCGATCCTTACTTTGCTAGCCCGTTCCGGACGCGTCCTATTCCACGAAGGAAGGCAGATGATAAAAGACGTTCAGAAATAAAAGCCCTTTGGTGGGAATGTTCCCCGTAGCTGTGAAAGAGGAGGGAGTCTACTGCAGAAACGATCAGCCCCCTAGCAGGGCAGAAGGCCATGGAGATGTGCTGTGTGACCTAGTTTCATGATATTCTCGAGGCAAAGCACCGAAGGGTAAACGGTACCATGAGTTATTTTATTCTCGGAGCACTCCGAGTTTTGGGTATGGTTTATAACATGTTACTCTATGTCCATGGACCAAAGACAGGATTGGAGAAGACAGGAGAGGATTCTGGTTGACTGGTTCTGCTGTACAGAGTCTCACCAAAATTGAAGGTCCTGTTTTCTCTCTCTTGGGGAACAGTAACGTGCTTGTTAGATGTACAGAGATTTCATATTTCCTGCTTTTTTCCCCCCAAGCGCTGTGAGTAAACGTTTGGGTCATTTACTTCCTCTCCAAAAGGTATTCCCAGTAACAATGATGTCCAAGTAGCAGTGAATCTTTTCTGTCCGCAGAATCGGACAAAAGCCTTCTGTGCGCAAAAAAAAAAAGGTGATTACGGTCGATTATGGTTCAAGACTGGCCCGCGCAGAGTAGTCGCTTGCATTTTGACAAGCGTCCTGAGGTCTTCTCGGCGGGCCAGAGTAAGACCAGCTGAATCATTTGGTCAGCAATTGGAGAAAATTGACTGGCAGGTACCACTCCTTCCTGTGCTCCCCGACAGCCTGGTCAGACATCATAAAACAAGCGCACTAGTTGGTACCGGATTGAAAATGCAACCGTGCTGCCCAGGACCTAGGTAAAGATCAGACAAACAATGGAAACATTATAGCGTTAAATAGTTTACAGGCTGGCAGATTCCTTCTTTCCAGATGGATTTGCTATGCTTTCCAGTGTGCCTTGTTTCACTGAACACTGACACTTAGGCTAAATTTTTTAGGTATAGGAAGATGAATGGTAGAAGCCTAGCCAAAGGTCTCGGTTCTTTCTCTGAGAATCGCAGCTATCTGCAGGGGATTTCCGCGTGTGCCTGTGCATAGTTACACGGTGAGAATGAGCGGACGAGACGAATGCTTGGGAACAACCCTTCTTAAGGAGGAACGTAATTGTAAAGTAAATCCTATGGTTTGTCACGGACAACACCTCGTGTCAAAGCCGCAACTCGGCATCCTTCCAAGAAGGCGCTGCCGAGATTCCTCCGCTGTGACTGGGCTCGAGATCGAGCAGTACGTACTTCCCATCCTCTCCCATCCCCAATACAGTTTGCCTAAGCCTTGTTCCGTCTCCAGGTCGGTTTGTTGGAAGTCCTTCCTCCCGAATGGGAATTTGGCTAAGTGTCTCTTCTCTTTCCTAACAAGAATCTCTTACCTTTGATCTGAGGATGAAAAAAGAATTTTATTGTGGCAACTAAACAATGCAGGTCTTTCTGAAAGCGGCGCTTCTACTATATTACGCACGAGAGTTCACGTGCTGAATAGAGGTAGCGGCAGTATCTGTGAGGCACGTTATCCTTGTGCTCCGAGTCGCTTCAAAGCGCTCCCGCACCCCACTCGGATTCCAGATACCGCTGAGCTACGTGCCACGCTAACGTGAGTCTGCCGGCCGGCGATAACTCTGCGACCGTGTTATTTGGTTTGACGGAAAAACGGGAACGTGGAAAAAGGCTGTATCAGGTCTGTGACGAGGCACTCTGCTTTCCTAATGTTTTCCTAGCGTCCAACGATTCGCACCTTGGGAATCTGCTCAAGCTAACCTAGGGACTTTGTATTTATTAGCTCTCTGTGAACGGGGGGGGCGGGGAGGAATCTGTTTCCTCCTTGAGCTGCGTAAACCTCTGATTCTCCTCAAGTTCCACAGCTCGAATGCATCTCGCGTGAAGAGCGTGATACTTTAATTCCCCCTTTCCCCTTGTGACCCTTCCCCTTGTGACCCTTGAGACCAATTTGGATCTGTTTCTATTGCAGAGGATGTCTTTTTACCGGAGGAACCGTTTGTCTGACCTGAATGAGTAGCAACAGGAGAGTGAGATTTCGCTCGTGGGTGGGTCCAATCAGCTTTATAACAAAGTTAATAAGCGTCATATTATTGCACTCGGTGTATTCGCCATCTTCATCCGTTCCGCTCCTCACGTCTACTATGTGCAAGATCTTGACTGCCTGGGGAAAGAAATATCGCGTGCTATTTCACCGGGTACGTTTGGTGCTCACCGCGCTGGCTGCTTTTGCTCAAGATCCCTTTTGCCGTACCACCCCTGAACTCTGGCTCGTGCCCTCGCTGAAAAGATGGGACGGGCTTACCGTGGTCCTGGGACGCTGCTATGCGTGGTTATTCTGAAAGATTGATTATTAACCCAATTGAGTGACTGTGAAGGATGGTGATGGACTAAGCAGAGTATTTTTTCTGGATCTGAGTCAGGAAATAGCCAGTGAATGTAGAAGTTCTGCATCCCCTCCCGTTCTGTTCCTCCCATGTTTGATCAGCCTCTCTTGTTTGATCGCCGCCTCAGAACGCATCTGGATTTTGCATGTTTTCTGGATATTACCTTCAGAATGCTTGTTCCCAGGGCAGAGAGGCTCTTAGTTTTGAATTTGGAGTAGCTCATCTCCAACTTCCCTGTAGTAGGATTGAGCCTAAAAGAAACATTAAAATATTAGTCCGTATAGAGCGAGGAGATGGAGAGATCTCTACGTAAGCAGACTTAGATCCCTAGCTGAGTAGTTGAGAAAGAAATCCAGTGGTGCAAAAAGCAGGAATAATTCGATATGCTTAACAACAGCTGCCGACACCTAGCCCCTCGGGTTGGGCGGAGTCAGGAGGAAATTCCTCCCCACTGCACCCCCGATACGTGTATAAAGCTGTATAGTTTTAAAAAGAAAACGGAGGGATCCCACACCTGCAGAGACAATTGCTGATACGGCAGAGCACCACAGCATGCTCGCTACTAGGAAATCCTGGCAGATCCTACTGCAACAGCATTAAAAGCAGCCCGTAGCAATTTCTCCCACTCTTGTAGCTGAGAATAATCGTATTCTAATGTTGTTAAAAATCACTTTTCTGTATCTGGGGGAAGTGGGGTGGTCAGAAAACTTAACTTTGAGAAACCTCTACCGTATGACTTGACCGTAGCTGGCGGAGCGAGCCAGCTAACGTTGAACTCTAAAACTCACTTTGGCTTTTAAAAAGAGCACCTACCACCACCTTTCTCAGCTGGTGTTGGAGATAAAAGGCACAATCTGCGGTAGCATCATAGGTCACTTGGATACATTACCTTGGCAGCCGGTGACGGGGACAAGGAATGACGTGGAAGAGTTGAGGCAATGAGTAGAGGAAGTTGAGCACTTGCGGGATGAAAAAAAGCAGCATTGTTTTGCTAAAGTGCCCCAAGATCCCCACCACGGCGAAGGTCATGCCGGCAAAGTAGCAGAAGGTGTCCCCAACAAACACTCGAGATGGATACCTGCGATCCACAGGGCAGAAAAACAAAGGTCTGTCGTGATCGTTGTCGCTGTGAAAGTGACTTTATAACCACTGCATGTATTCCCACGTGGCAAGTTAGGAGCCAAGAGGGAACCGCAGCAGATCTCCATAGTGAGAACAACTATCGCGGGTATTTACGCTAAGAACCGTGGGACTGGGATACGCAGCCTGACTTGTGGAGAATACAGCACGAAAAAAAGGCTAGTGAGATGCGTGAGGGAGCGTATTCCGTGCATTTTGGGTAGCTGGTGCGACTGGAATCGTTCTAACAAAAAGAAAAGCTACCAGCGCATCCGTGCTTTGCGCTCTTGGTTCTGATGAGAAGCCTGCCCACGCTCTGGCATCCCACCTGCACGTCGGTAAGTGGTTTTGTTTGTTTGAAAAGGGAGAAAGTAAACAGAAAGGACATTTCTAAAGAATGTCCGTCCTCTTACCAGTTGTGGTAAAACAGCCCCAGTGTGGTAAAAAAAAAGGGAATCATGAAGTAGAGAGAAAAAATGTGATCTTCTCGATAATCCCCTGTAGAAAAAAGAAAAAGGGGTGGGGGGGGAAGCATCTGTGATAAGACAGGATTGGTTGATTTTTAGCAATACCAGATATTGAAATCTAGGATTCTATCTCCCTTTGCTTTTTGCACCCGCAAATGTATGTCATCTTCCTTACCGTTTAACTCTACGATGTTGAACACGATAATGGAAGCAGCTATCACCAGAGACTGCCCTGCTTCAATTCCATTAATTCCAGCGAGAATGTTGATGGCGTTCGTGCAGAACACTGCCAGCATGCCCATGTACACGTAGTAGAGGATACCTGCAGATCAGAGTGAGCCGAGCGCTTTAGAATTCATAGGCGAAGCAGGCCCCCGATCCGATTCGGTGAAGCTCTCGCTTCCTGCTTTGTACGACGACCCACCACCTACTGATCTCGGTGAGTTTTGGTATCGGTAGCTTACTAACAAATCGCTCCCTCCCCTGCGAGTCAGCCGTCGTGTGTACGCATCCGTACAACGTGGCGACTGTGGCAAACGGTTGTGACACGGTGGCAAACTGCAGCGCTCCCTTTCTGTCTTTTGGTCGTTGTGGTGTTGGCAGCCGCGCGCGCCTGGCGCTGAGCTGTATCGCCAGAATCCTGGAAAAATGACTGATGCCTATCTGTGCGTGGTTGAATGCGTGCTGGGTTTCTGGATGTTCTTTCCAGACTAATACTTAGTGGGTGGAGTTGTGCCCTCTCACTGGTTACTCAAGCGAGTCCTTCGTGCGTTCCCTCTGCAGCACAGAGCGCCGCCAGGTGACCCCTCCACCGATCGCTCGCCGTTTGCATGCCGGCTTGTGGTGATTCATAACTTACCCAGGTCCAAGTGCATGCCCAGCAGCACCCGGAAGGGCTTAGGCACCACAATGGTTGTGTTCCCAAAGTTGGTGAAGTAAACCATGAGCAGCGGGAGGGAAGCCATGGTAGGAAGAAGGAGCTTGTGGCGCCAGCGCAGGTTCAGAACGTCATCCGCAAAGCCCAGGAAAATCATGCAGCAGATGGCGAGGAGCGACCCGATGAGCTCCACGAACTGCAGGACACAGAACGGGACCCCAATTACCGGTGGCCGCTCCTTGCCCGCGCCAGCTGTGCTCCCAGTGCCAAG